CCCCGCTGCTGCGGAACGGTCTGGAGGCTTCTGCGCTCCTGGCTCGGGGCTTCTTAGAGAGCGATCCTGCCACTGAAGTGTTACCCCCATTTCACTTTCAGTTTGGATGGACTAAATTTAGATTCTCCCAGGTGCTTTCCTCAGACCTAAATATAGCACCTCTGCCACATAAGTGTAGTATGTACCTGCCTGTATAGAAATACGCAAGTGTGTGGTCTGTGGCATTTCACTGCATCATGCTGATGTGCCTGAGACTAGGTGTATTTCAGGATTCAGGATAACATACCTAAGCTGCATAATTTAGTGTTTGGTTTTGGTTGCTCATGGATTGTTGGTATATGCCAAGGAATAAAGCTGATAGGAGTGCTGCCATAGCTTGCAAAGGAAATGACAGTTGTTACTCCCTTGAGTGCTTAGTCACCTTTCTGTGACTTTTTTGTCACGTTTTTTTACCTGGGAGATGACTTGGGTGGGCATGATTAGAGTTAGAGATCAAAAGATTTTGATGAGATGAAGGCCACCCTATTTAGGTCTTTGAGTGTTTAGTATAAAGTAGGAACCACCAAAACCAGCGTGCAGGTGCTCAGTTACACGTACTGACTAAGCAAACAAGAGACCCCGATTCCCACCTCACGATGGGACATTTTTCCGCTACGTGAGTGTGGCGCAGTCATTCCCTCCTGTGATGCAAGAACATTGTGCCTGGGGGGCTGAGTAGTCACTACCCTTATGTCTAATAGCTATAGGTGGCCCTAGCAGGAGGGGTAAGTGGAGCTGCTCTCTGGAGCATGTGGAGAGCTTTTTTGAGGCTGCCGTTCATCCACTGATGTATCTGGGCTTTACATTCCCTAAAGGAGCTGGAATCAAAGTCAAGCCTAGTTCAGGGACAGTCGTGATTGCTGAAAAATGTCACGCACAAATCTCCATTTCACCGAAGTCACTCTACCACAGTCCATGAGACCATCTAACACTACTGGGGGCTGAGGCCTCCCTTGCTCCCACAGGCCTGGCTGACCTTTGGTCCTCCGAATTTAAGAACTATTTGTCCTTGATTTGGGTAAAGACATTTGGGTTGTGTTACCTGGATTCACAATGTCGTTTTGACCTTAGTTAGTATAGAAATGATGTAAATGAATTATTCTTCATCATAAAAGGGGGCATGTTTAAGTTATGATTCTTTGGAGTGTTCCATTATTCCTCTTGGAGCCAAAATGTGTGTATGAAATACATAACCAATTGCTAGCAAAGTTTTGCGCTGCCTGAGCATTTCTCTGATTCTAATCATAAAAAAAAATGCTAACACTATCTCTTGGTGGCTGCTGAAGCAAGCCTGTACTTTTCTGCAGTACTTCTCATGTGAACGGCCAGAACTCCACCTTGCAAAAGTAACAAATGCTATTCGAATTGTATCTAATCTGCAACTAATCTGGGGTTGAACAAAACATAACTGGTCAATATCTGCAGAGAATGATCTTATCCTAAGAGCTGGGTGATATTTAACCCTAACGACCATAAGCATTTTTATTTTCTCCTCTCTTTTTCTCTTACTCTGACTGTACAAACTCTATAAGAGTGACTGTTAGTATGCATTTGACAAGTAATCTTTTGTCTCGGAAAGGTATAAAAATACGCTGAGAATATATTCAATTTTATTTACTTACAGAGAAGAATACTTCCTATCAAAACTGCCAGGGTTGTAGGCATCATTTTTTTCACTCTATTAAATTATTTACCTTCAGTTTTAATAATACAGTCAAAGGTACTATATATAGCTTAAGCTCTCTGAATAAATCATGCTTATGTGACTTCATATTTATCCTATAAATTGTAAGTACCAACACACTTGTGTGGATCTACTAAGCTAATCTAGCCAAGGATTTCCCAGGAGAGCATCTGTAAGAGTCGTTGGAGATGAACTCA